TCAGGATTTCTCGTGTATCCACCAACAAGCAATGAGGGGTGTGTGTGTGCGTGTGTGTGTGTGTGTGCTCATTTTATGAGTACTGTGGTGTGGTGTGGTTGTGTGTGTGTGTGTGTGTGTGTGTGTAGAGGGTGTGTGTGTAGAGGGTGTGTGTGTGTGTGTAGAGGGTGTGTGTGTGTGTGTGTAGAGGGTGTGTGTGTGTGTGTGTGTCTTCCATCCATTTAATGAGAGGCGGGTAGATGGGGCAGAACGGAAGGAAGAGCTAGAGGGACAGACGGACAGAGACTGCGCACCGCAGAGAACCAACTCCACCCGAACTGGGGAGAGAGGAGCTAAGAGCTCCAGGAAAGATCAAGGGATGAGTGAATGGATGGAAAGCCAGGAGGAGCGCCCCAGAAAACCGATGTGTATCTGGCCACGTTTGTACTTGTAAAAGGGTCGAGAGGAGAAGTAGGCAGAAAGTCCCGCGGGAGTCGTGGGACCCACGAGTGATTTTTGTGCCAGCGGCGTTGGGGTTGGATGGGAGTGGAGACGAGGAAGAAATGCCCCAGCTGCAAAGAAGCACGAGGGACCAGAGGGTGGTTAGCAGACCTTTAGAGTGGCCAGTAGATGTGTGAATAGATGACAAAGAGGCAGGTCCCCAAAGGGGGGAGGAAGGGTCCTTGAAAAATGGTCAACACCAAATGTTGATAGTGGGATGTTGAAACTTTTAAAACTGGATGGTAATTTTGTTTTACATCCAGAAAAAAATATGTCTTCTTTAGGAAAATGATAAAGCCATTCAACAGTAACACGTTAAAAAATATCTTAAGGGAAATTACTACATTTCTCAGTTGCCATTTGAAGATAAGAGAATACAAACTTGGACTTTGCTAAATCTACCCACTCAAGTATGTCTAACATGTTTCCTCCTCTGTGCCCAGGTCAGTTTCCCAGCATGCAGATTGTGTTACTGGGCCAAGGAAGTGGCCACCTAAATTTTGCTGCAAGTCCTTCTTATAGGAAATGCAGGAAGGAAATCCCAGAAGAAAATAAAAGGGGGGGTGATACAAACTTTTTATTCATTTCCTCACTCCTCCACCATAACCTAGTGGCTCCATATGTCTGTGTTGGAATTCAAATTCTCAGACATAGGGGCCTCTTTGATTTATGAACTCCAGTGCTCTCCAGGGCAGTATCTGGGGCTGAGAGGTGGCATTTTTGCTCAGACCTCAGTGCTGAGGGCAGGAGCGTTCATGTCCTGGACCAGGTCCTCTGCTCACTCACCCAGAGACTGAAGGTGATGGATGATGTGGCTTTGAACTTTTGCCCTAATCCTCCTGGGCTGTGGCTGCAACTTTTCCTTGAAAATTCTATTCATTTTTCTACACAGGCATGCAGAAATACTTTAAACTACCCACCACATTCTGCTCTCTTGGCAAATTGCCTTCTCACTTTTGAGTTCAGAACTGCCACTTGCTGAGTAAAGCTGCCTCCCTAATGGGAACCCACAAGATTTTTCTTTCTGAGAAAAACCAACATATGGGAAAAGTTAAGCTTCTCCAAGGAAGGTTATGCATACATATGGTCAGATTTCAAGACATGATTGTTTTGAAAGGGAGTGGTTATAAACTGATAGCTTTTGTAAGTTCGATGTGCTGTCCCAGAAGAGGGTGCCTGTCACAGGTCTTCAAAATTAGCATCAAAGTAGATACTGCTTGCCGAAGATAATGCAGAATGCAAACCCCTGGAACCCAATTAAGGTAACATTGGTTTCCATGGGGTGCTTGGATGGCTCAGTTGGTTAAGCATCTGCCTTGGGCTCAGGTCCTGATCCCAGGGTCCTGGGATTGAGCCCTACCTCGGGCTCTGGGCTCAGCAGAGAGCCTGCTTCTCCCTCTCCCTCTGCTGCTCCCCCTGCTTGTGCGTTCTTTTTCTCTCTCTCTCTCTCTCTGTCAAATAAGTGAATAAAATATTAAAAAACAGATAACATTGGTTTCTTTACATTGTACCTTATAATGATGAATGGTAAGAAAGGTTCCCAAAAACCCTTAAAAGAATTGGTGTAGCTAGGACACTTGCTCTTCTGATTCAAAAGCAAGTAGTATATTTCTGCACGCTCATAGCTCTGTATAAAAAATTATAAAGCTCCAGATCCTTAGGACTCTTTCATTAATTCATCTGCAGTATTGGCATCCTCAAAGTTGTTTTTCTGTGGCTGTAACAGGTGATGTTACAAAAGCAACAAATAAAATAGTGCTTCTGAAACTCTATATTAAATTTATTTTAAATAATTGTTTTCATTTCATTTTAAATTTAAATTTATTTTAAATAATTGTTTTCATTTCATTTAAACAATTTCATTTCATTTCAATTGTTTTCATTAACTTACATAGTTACATAAAGTTGTTTTTCCATTTTATTTACTCACCAGTCTACACATCGTGGTATTAGTTTACCAAAACATTTATTAATAAATAATTTGCTGCCAAATATCGGAACGTCTTTAAAAATTATCTGCAATTCTCTAACATGAAACTGGTTGAATGAACCAACAACGTGGGAAGCCGTTTCCTTCAACAACCTGTAAATATATCATGACAGAGTAGAAAATCTTCATAACACAGAAGATAGTTAAAATCATTGAAATCTTACATATAAACCAGGCAGGATACCTTATGAACGTGACTAGAGAAATAAAACATGGTGTTCTTAGATGTATGAATACATGGTATTGTTAGATATCACAGGAATATTAGCCTCTTGTGGGCAAGAATTATTAGAGCACTACATTATTCAACCAGTTTTCATCAGTACTTACAGACATGTGGTCATCGT